TCCCTTTAGTTGTGTAACATAATATAGTCTCAGGTTCCAGGGGTTAGAATGTGGACACCTTTAGGGGCCATTATTCTATCTACCACCATCCTTGTTAGAATTCAGAGGCAAGAAGACCCCCTCAGGACTTGAATGAATGAGGGAGGCATGATGAGGGTCACTGAAGACTGTAGACCCCTACCGGTGCCCTATGTGGATAAGATATCTTGTAAGTTACAAGACACATTGGAATTTAATGCCTCGTATTGGGTGATGTAGGTGTCAAGACTGCGGGCTCTCAGACCCAGGTCAGAAATCCCACCTCCTCCCTCACTAGCTGCACAACCCTGAGCGGTTCCTTAGCCCCTCTAAGCCTTCATTTCCTCATCTGTAAAATGGGGATAAAATGCCTACTTTATAAGATAGTTAAGATTAAATGAAATAATACACATAAACTGCTCAGTGGCTTGTTCATCCTGACACAAAAAAAAGGGCTCCATTCCCTTCCTACCATCCTGAGGACTTCTTATAGACCCACTTGACAGAGGAGCAAATTGAGGTCAGAGGAAGTTATGGTTCTTGCACAGGACATCACCAGTAGTAGTGGCTGAATCAAACCAAAGCTTGGCTCTGTGGACCACACAGGTCCAGGGCGGTCTGCTCCCTCAAGAAGGGTAGGTGAAGCACAGGCACATAGAAATAATGAGAATGGTTAGTCTGGGGGGGGTTCAAAATCTCCATGTCTAGGTCAACTCTACAAGGCAGGGAGCAGAGAAAGAACAGTTCTGTGGTTCCACTTTTGACAATTCTCTAGTTGTTTTCTCCATAAAGCCTGCTAGGGCCCTGACCAAACCCATTATTATTCCTGCTCTGTGGACCTTTAACACCCTGCGAGGTCACATAAAGCAGCATTTCATTCATCTTTCAATTCTTATTCAATGAAGCATGTTTTCAAAAGAATAAACTACCTCCAAAAGGGCAATGTGACTGAGTCCACGGTCACAGCCACAAAGGACACAGAGCTAACGCTAAAGCAACAACTGAGGGGAAGTAGTGATGGGGCAGTGGGTGTGAATCTGAGCCATGCAGTAAACCAGCCGGGCAGTGAATGGAGTCCAATGTGTCATCCAGTCTGATCACATTATAGTATACTAGAGGCCCGGTGCACAGATTTGTGCATCGGTGGGGTCCCTTGGCCTGGCCTGCAGGGATCGGGCTGAAGCTGGCTCTCCGACATCCCCCAAGGGGTCCTGGATTGTGAGAGGGCACAGGCCAGGCCAAGGGATTTGTGCACCAGGCCTCTAGTATGCATATAAGATCTTTGGTTAATCTCTTCCTGCCCTCCCCGCTTCTCTCTGAGATCCATCAGTCTGTTCCATGTTTCCATGCCTGTGGTTTCCACTCCTGCGTTGTGCATCTGCCCCCCTGGTGGTCAGTGTGTGTCATAGCTACCGGATGGTGGGCTGGTCGCTTAGGCTGTTTTATATATATAGGTGATAAAAGGAGCCCTGTTCCTGCAAAGGTGGGTGCTATGGACTGAATGTCTGTCCCCCAGAAATTCACATGGTGAAGCCCTAACTCCCAATGGGATGGTATTAGGAGATGAGGCCTTTGGGAGGTGATTGGGTATAGATGAGGTCATGAGGGTGGAAACCCATGATGGGATTGGTACCCTTATAAGAAAAAGAGGCACCAAAGCTTGCTCTCTCCACCATGTGAGGAGACAGCAAGAAGGAGGCTATCTGCCAACCAGGAAGAGAGCCCTCATGGGGAACCACATTTGCAGTTACCTAGATCTTGGACTACCAGCCTGCAGAACTGTGAGAAATAAATGTCTATTGTTTAATCCACTCAGTCTATGGAATTTTGTCATAGCAGCCTGAGCTGACAAGATACTGGACACAGAAGACTGACCAAGGCACCCCACCTCAGTGACCACTTCCATGAGTCTGCCATTGCAATCAAATGACTAAGTCAGTCTAGGCTACCCTCTGTCTCTTGTGGGCCCATATATCTTGGAGCTCAAATCCTCTCATGCATCCTTCTGCATCTCTCTCCAAATGGACTTTTGCCACTTCCTGCAAAAACAAAAGTTTGTTTTGCCACAATACCAGCTTTGACCCCAATTCAGCAACTTCTTGCCATTAACTGGCCCATTTCTCATGACCATTAGGCCAGACTCACAAAAGAAGAATTCTAATGGGCTGAGCTCACCCCTTCGGTCAGGTTTCTACCACTGACCCACCTGACTGTAGCCAAGAGAAACAGAAGCCCATGGAACCCTGGGCTGGGCTGAGTCGGGAGGAAGGGTGTTGGTGATGAAGGCAATGATTGACTCTTTATCACATAGGTCTTCCATTACTAATGGCTGCCATTTATTAGACATCTACACCGAGCCAGGCTCTCAGGTATTTAATCTCATTTTAATTCCTAACATTTTCCATGCATCTTGCCAAGTAGATGTTATCATCACCTAGATGATAAGGAAACCAGGTTCTCAAGGTAGGCAACTTCTCTGCAGTCTCTTGGCCGACTGACCTATACATCAAAGATGAACCCAGTTCCAAGTCTCAAGTGTTGGGGTGCTCCTTGCCCAAGTCGGAGTTGCAGAGCCACGTCCTCCAAGCTGGGATGTTCTGATAAATTGTGCCTCTGGGTCTGCAAGTCTGAGTACCTCCTTCTCCTGGGCTTTGCCTCGATACTTCTCCAGCAACCAGCCACACACCCTTGTTTACCTGGAACTCCCATCACCTTTCTGATGGATCGCTGAGAGTGGCAGTTCCGCAGGAAGACCTGGCTGACCCTCCCAGCCTGACCGAGCCTGCCTGAGCTGCCTCCTCTCTGTCCTGCTGCAGCATGAACCTCCCCATTTTAGCATCTGCTCATCTGGCCTCTTCCCACGCACCTTGATGGGGGATGGCCATGACACCAAGCACATACGCGTGGTAGGAGTTTAATAAATATGTGTGAAGCCCAGTTGAATTAGTGATGCTCCACGTTGTTTGGGGACACCTTGAGGGCGTTTTCTCCTTCCTTCTAGGGTGAACACTGCAGCCCACGGGGTAGGAAGGGCCCTCCGAAGACTGGAAACTAGGCCACTCCGCCTTCCTCGGGCGCTCAGAGGTCATAGACTCAACACCCCCAAAGCCCAGGCAGAGGAGGCAGGTTAAAGTCTTCCGCTTGCTGTTGGCTGGAGTTCCACACTCCCGTGAATCCAGCTGAGAGGGAAAAATTAGACTCATCCCTGTGGCTCACAGGAAGTCGGAGGTACCCCTGACCTGTGATCGGGATGAGGGCAGTGTGTCAGAACCCTGCGGGCCTCTCCCACCATCAGAGCCCTCACTCCGCTCTCCGGCACCGCTGGGCCGTTACTGCTGAGCGAGCGCGGCCTGTCCCTGGGGACACTGGACTCCCTGGGATGGCCTGCTTTGCAGGGACGGTCCCCTCCAGGGGGAGCAACCTCACTGTAAAACCAGATCTGCTTCCAGGCGGGTCAGAGTGGGAGGAGGCCCGGCCACCAGGCAGACACACCCCGTGAGGGAGGCCCTGCTTCCGGTCTGTGAACTGCTCAGAGGATGAGGAACAATGGGGTGCTGGGAACACAGGGTGTGGAGGGATTGCATCTGAGTTATGTAAGCGGTTATTTTGTTCCCAGCTTCCTTTCCGTCGGTACTTCAGGGAACTCCGCAGAAGCCTACATCACACCTTCTGGTTTATGTGGCATTTGTGTACACACACACACACACACACACACACCCCTCAGGAAGCTTTCTATGGCGTGTCCCTCAACCTGCTTCCCCTTTTCAGTGGAGACCCAAGGCCACAACATACCCCAGGGAGCCCTGCCTGGTCCCTAGGGCCAAAGTGATTCCAGTTAGCGTTTCTCTATTAGAAACCCATCCGAGGAACCCAGAGCTTCTGCCCCCACCCCACCCTCATCCCTAACCAACAATTGTCCAGCAGGAGAAATCTCCTGACACTAACCAATCAACACATTTTCCGATGGATTTTTCTAGACAGTTAATCCTCCCACGCCTGCCGGTCTTCCCCACCTGTGCCCTCGTGACGGCAAACAGGAGCAGCTGCGCCTCTGCCCATCATCACCTTCATGCTGCTCGCAGCTCCCGCCACACCTTCCACCTGCACCCCCCGCACGCGTGTGAGCTCACACACACACACACACACACACACACACACACACACAAAGAGTCCCTCTTACTCCCACCCTTTCTCACACTCCACCAGGACCCTTGGTTAAGGAGCTGCCAAGGGGAACACACCGACACCCCCCAGAGGAACACCGTGTTGTCATACAGACTCTCGGGGTGCGGAGGGCGAGGTGTGACTTCCACCAGGTTCTCTCCTGGCAACGTTCAAACAACAGCCAGACGCAGGGGGTGGAGGGGTCTTGCCACCTGGGGCCCCCGGGCAGGCACACACCTAACCCCCTGGCCCTTGACTCCACCCTCCCCACCCAGTGGACCATTCCTGCTGCCTGTGGAGCCCTTGGAGGTGGGGTGTGCAAAGCTGCTTACCTGTGAGCTCTGCAGGGGAAGCGATGGGACGGGAGAGAGACAGAGAGCGTCTCCAAGTGTGCAGAGCACTGCCGGTAAGTGGCAGAATGGCCCTCACCCTGGGGGCGGGGCATCCATTTGGAGCTCTGAAATCTCCTGCTGAGCTAACCTGATGACACCTGCGGAACGCAGATGCATCCCCCTCCCTCATTCTCCTGGATGGGTCACATTCCCCAGAGAAACCTCTGAGTCTTTGGCACGCCTGGGTGCAGGGCTCTCTTCCCATCGCAAGAAGACAATGTATTGCAATCGCCATACATTTAGGACTCTCCAAATGAGCCCAGCAGGTGAGAATGCGCCTCTCGCACTCAGCAGGAGAGAGAAAGGACAGAGGCACCGTGTTTCAGCTCTAATCTTAAGGGAAGGAGAAAACAGACATCCGGCTTACAGTCCTTCAGCAGTGGGAACGTCACCGATCCATAAAAAGGGAGAGATGGAGGCAGACACTTGAATCACGCATCTTAGCTCCACTTTATTACAACACCAAGGAAAGCGGTTGCAGGAGGAATGATACTGGAGATGAACACAGAGATAAAGCCACGCTCAGCGGCATGGCCTACACCTTCTACAGGGCGTGAGTGAGTGTCAGGGGCTCTGTACATGCATGTGGGGCTGCGGGGCGTGTGCTGTGTGCGGGTGATGGCTCTCGCGGATGTTTCCTTTCATTGCTTGACGGATGATGGTTGAACTCGGTGTCTCCCGGCAGACTAGCAAGGGGCTCCCCTGCTAGGACTGGGACCCTGCCTTCTTCTTCTGGAATTTTCTGAACTGGGACTGAATGGCCACAGCCGCACGTTCTGTCTCGGGCGCGTCCATGTCGATGTCAAACTCTTCTTGAACCTTCTTCTGCCCATCTGCAGCAAGAAAAACACAGACAGAGGCCATCACTGAGCCGGAAGCCGGCAGGAAGGCGGGCGGCCGCTCTGGAAGGGACAGCCCCCAGGCCGCCACGCGGCACGCCACCCCCAGCACACGACCGAGTGCACAAACCACTGTCCAGTGGCTCCTGTCCTGACCCTCATCCAAGTTGGCCGCCTTCCGGCCGCCCTATAGCCACACCTGCAAGGGGACGATGAAACTCAAGGGCACAGTCTCAGCACCTCCGACATTGTCTGCACAGTTTTCTGCTTCTCGTGCTCATGTTTTATAGACAGTGTTAGACATAGCGACGGTGCCGTTCCTTCCTCCTTGTACTTCCTGTGGATACAGTGTAAATGGTGCTACGGATAGTGACCCAGAGGCAGCAGATATCAGCTCCGAGTTAAACTCGAGTCTCTGTGTGAACTTTACCGCCAATGAGGTTTGCTTATTGAATTAAGGCTTCTGTTTTTATCACCGTCACAAAGGGAAGACACCGTGTGACCTTCACAGTTAGGCGGAACTTTCACAAGTCTTACATCTCGCTCTAGCGGACAGGCTCAGCAGTGTGTTGCTAAGGCAGAGGGTTTAACTCATTCACAGCAACGATGGTTGGAAACACCATAGAAGCCAAATCAGAGTGAACACATGAGCTGGTGTCCCTCGGTGCTGAGCACCTTACTTTTCGCCAAACACCAAAAACAAACAAGAAAAATGCTCTAGTCATGGAAGGGGAGAATCTTAAAACTCCTCAGTCCAGTGAAAGCGAATCGCCAGAGCCATCAAAGGCACCCAAGTTTTTTTAAATATAGAACTGGGCCCACCCCAGACTCGGGGCTCCCCCTCTGCACAGCCACGGTGGGAAGGGCTCCTGAGAGCAAGGCCGAGCTGGACCATCTGTGCCAAGAGGCCGGGCCCCACCGCCCACTTCCCCAGAAGGTGCTCCGGTGGCTCTAACGTGCAGCCTGAGTGGAGATCCAGCTCCTTGGTCTGCAGATGAAGTGACAAGTCAGGGCCTGCAGTCAGCTCGCGGCACAGCTGGGGACAGGACCCACATCGGCGCCGGGGCCAAGAGCCGCACTGCCGCCTGGGCTTGCGCCTGGAGCCCGGCAGTGTGAGGGGCACTGTCCAGGTTGGGGACGGGAGAATTGGGGACATGGAGACAGGACAGAAGGCCCAGGGGGAGCAGGGACAGGGCTCTAGTCCTGACTTTGTCACCAGGCAGCCTGAGTGCATCCTTTCACCTTCGAGGGTCCATTCATTCACTTCCTCTCTCAGTGACTCGGGATGATAATGTCCAGGCAGCCCAGGCGGTGCGGGACTCTGGGATTCCGAGACGTGAATCAGGTTGTTCTCTCCAGCTTGCTCAGCTCTCTAAACAGCCTCAGTCTCTGTCTTAGAGATGGATAGGTAGGTAGGTAGGTAGGTAGGTAGGTAGATAGATAGATATAGATAGATAGATAGATAGATAGATAGATAGATAGATAGATAAATGATAGATAGATAGATCGATGATAGATAGATGATAGAGAGATAGATAGATAGATAGATAGATAGATAGATAGATAGATAGAGATAGATGATAGATAGATAGATATAGATATAGATAGATAGATAGATAGATAGATAGATAGATATGGATAGATCATAGATAGATAGATAGGTAGATAGATAGATAGATAGATAGATGATAGATAGGTAGGTAGATAGATAGATAGATAGATAGATAATAGATACATACATGCATACATACATACATGCATGCATGCATACATACATAAGAGAGAGAGAAAATAGAAATTCTCATCTATTTCACAGGCCCTCATTTCAGAGGCAGCTGGCTGGGTGACTTTGCTTCTGCAGGTCATGGCACAGCCTCCTCTGATTTTCCCAGGGCCTAAGGGGTCCTGCCTGCAGCTCTGCAATCACACCTCCATCTGGGAGGAAAGGACACGGCTTTGCAAGCCTCGCCGACTGATCGCTCCATGACCTAAATCAGTAGAATTGTTTTCCTCTATCCCAGATTGGCTGCCGATGCCCATAAAAGCAGAGATTTTGAGTGCATGGGTGTCTGGGGACTACTGGGGGGCCATCTATTTTAACCCACGAGCGCCCAGGTGATACCTGGATGGTCTCCTGCATCAGGGAGCCATTCACACTTTGATCTACAGCTCAGGGCCCTTTCTTTGGGGAGCTCCTAAGGGTAGGATGGTCGGGAGGGGCAGGAGTTTCCTGAGGCACAAGTCAGTGCTGTCGAATGTTTCATGAGCATCAGCAGCCCTCGTGCTCACAGCAGCCCTCGTGCTCACGGCAGCCCTCGTGCTCACAGCAGCCCAGGTGCTCACAGCAGCCCTCGTGCTCACAGCAGCCCACGTGCTCACACAGCAGCCCACGTGCTCACACAGCAGCCCACGTGCTCACAGCAGCCCACGTGCTCACACAGCAGCCCACGTGCTCACACAGCAGCCCACGTGCTCACAGCAGCCCACGTGCTCACAGCAGCCCTCGTGCTCACGGCAGCCCATGTGCTCACAGCAGCCCACGTGCTCACGGCAGCCCTCGTGCTCACGGCAGCCCATGTGCTCACAGCAGCCCACGTGCTCACGGCAGCCCTCGTGCTCACGGCAGCCCATGTGCTCACAGCAGCCCACGTGCTCACGGCAGCCCTCGTGCTCACGGCAGCCCACGTGCTCACACAGCAGCCCACGTGCTCACAGCAGCCCACGTGCTCACACAGCAGCCCACGTGCTCACACAGCAGCCCACGTGCTCACAGCAGCCCACGTGCTCACAGCAGCCCTCGTGCTCACGGCAGCCCATGTGCTCACAGCAGCCCACGTGCTCACGGCAGCCCTCGTGCTCACGGCAGCCCACGTGCTCACACAGCAGCCCTCGTGCTCACGGCAGCCCATGTGCTCACAGCAGCCCACGTGCTCACACAGCAGCCCTCGTGCTCACGGCAGCCCATGTGCTCACAGCAGCCACCCGTTAGTACCAATGACATCCGCTGAGGCGGCACCTTCACACTAGGGACTATCACTCACGAGGCACGTTAGAGTCCCCAGTCCTTTTCCTCCCAGAGGAACCCTTGTGTCTACTGTGTCATGATCGCAAGGGGGACAAGTGAGCTTTGATTCAGAAAGAACGGGGAGGTTCCCCTTTATATTTGAAGTGCTGCCGCAGCCTGAAGTTTTAGAAAGGCCTGATTCATCTTTTTCTGTTGGTAATAACAAAAACAGCAATATGTTTTGACAAATGATAAATGAAGATGCAGAAAATTATGTGTATTTAGGGGCTATATAATAAGATAGTAGGACAGGCCATAAAAACAAATTTCACAATTATATCTTAAACTAATATCTTCAGCCAAAAGTGATGTCTAGATTCCTCCCTCGTTTGGAAAACGGGAGCGTGTCTGAAGAGCAAAGCACTGGGACGCCAGGAATCGCCACCTTCCGTTTATTCTGCAGTCGAGCGTTCCCTGGGGGAGGTCTGCATTCCTCCTTCCTCCGAGCTGGCCGGGGGCATCTGAGGCTGAGGAGGGGGACCCGGATTGTGGGGAAGAGACAGCAAATTAGATTCCGTGGCACAGGGTCCCAGGAGCTGGAAAAGCACAGCTCGGAGCACCCTGACTCAGCAGGGGCGAGGGATGACGCAGGGCGTGACCTGGAGGGACCACAGCCAGGTCCCAGCTTCAGGGCCGCTCTGCAGAGCCTCCGCCCTGCACTAATGCATGTCAGTGAGGTGCCTGCCGGGGCTTCCCTTCTGTGCCCTTGCGATGGAAACAGCTGTGTGCAAGGGGGCCCTTTAAGAGGCCCCTCCCCACCTCCCCTCCGGGACAGAGGCGGGGTGCCCACCGACAGCGCCAGGGACCCTTTCTGCTGCTGAAACCCAGAGAGATCTCAGCCATGTCTGCTGGAAGCAGAAGGGCGCACCTCATCCCCTCACCCCACATCACAGTTCTGCAGGGGCAACGCTACCTTACACCACTCCTTCCTCTCCTCCTGTCTGTGGTCCACCACCCACCGCAGTGTGAGCTCCATGAGGGGGAGGCATGGCCTGCCTTGCTCAGCAGCTCACACAGGGCCCAGCTAAGGTTTCTCAGTGTGTGTGGGGGGCGTTGGGGGGACATCTAGTAAGTGATCCAAGTCTAAACACAGGATGCGTCAACTACTTTGCAAAAGCTGCTTGCTCCCCAGGGGATCCGGGAGAATTGATAGCAAATTCCATCCTTCAGTAGAGGGTCTGGCATCCCTATTCAGGGCCAAGAACCATGCCAGGCGCTAGGAGAGAACAGAGAGCAAAGCCAACCCCTGCTCTCCTGGGGAATGGACGGTAGACCGGTACAGGCAGAAACGAGTAATGGAATTTCAAAAATTCCACAAATGAAACAGTGAGGACCGGGAGAGCGTATGTCCAGGCGGTCAGTAAGGCCTCGGGGAAGGGGATGGTGTGAGAAGAGGCCTCCTGTCCCCAAGCCAGCCTACAACCCCCTGCCCAGGGGGGAGGGCCACCGGGAGCCCATCATCAGCAAGAAACAACACTTTTTGAAAAATTAGTCTTCGCTGCTTGAAAAATTAGTCTTGACTTACACATTCACAATCCAAGTAGCAGACTTCCAGTCGTTAGCATAAATTCTTTAGAAATTAACAGACGTGCAGTCACCCACGGCAAAACAGAAATATTCATGGATCCTGAACAGCCCAAGATGTAATAAAATAAAAAAAATTGAAGCTCACATCACTCCAAAACATATCATATTAAGCTCCACCCTTGATTAAAGGGACTCAGATATATGTTTTGAGTTTATGATGATGTAAAGTCCTTGCCTAGAACAGTAAGTCATGAACAGGGGCTTACACACACATTCACACACACACACACTCATACACACTCACACTCACATATACTCACATACACACACACACACACACACACACAGTGGTAAAGGCTTTTGTTTACATATTTATAACTCGCAACATTTTCAGATTTATTTT